AGTGAGACAATTAAAGATATGAAATTTTCAAAAAATAAAATGAGAAATTTCAGAAGATTAACTAGAATCCACGAGACAGTTCCTTTGGTAGACGTGTCACTCTCCCACCTTCACGGTTGCCTGCCATACAGTGCATTTTTATATAAAATAAAACTTTTCCATTATTTGAAATTGCACTAGAACCATTGTGTTTGTCAGATCATGTCACCATTAGTACTGTGACCTATACAAAATATGAAAACAAAGAGTCATTCTGTAGCCCTTGAGACAGAGGACACAAACTTGCTTGATCTGAACCATGAGGGAAACCAGATACGGCTGGAGTAGCCTGAGCGGTTGCCGGAATGTGCATGTCCATCGGAGAGGGGACACATCAATTTGCCTCCACCTGAACAGGGCCAGATGTCAGCAGAATGCAAAATAGCATGACAGTGGCAGTGACTGATCTGCAGAGATTGCACAGATGTGACCAACCTCCTCTGTCAAAGTCAATGTGTTCTTGGCCTTCAAAATTCCAGAAAAATACAAAGATAAATGAAAAAGCAGTGGCAAGGCCCACCTCCAGCCTCAGAGTCCTTAAGGTCTTCTAGATTTCTAGCATCCTGCTGGAGGCTGGCAATGACATAAAGATTCCCTAAGACTGGAATGATATTCTCTATGTACTAATAACCATAGAGCTGTAAAATTATATGACATTAAAAACCATAGAGTTGAAAAAGGCCTTTTCTACATGCTCATTGCTTTATAATCAAAGACTGACAGATGAGCACAAGTGTTCCTTGGTTGCTTTTGTGCTTTTGCCTAGAATGGCTATTCCTATCTGCTTGGAACCCTATTATAAAATTCAAGGTCCAGAATGACGTCACCATGACAGCATAAAGCCTGATGCTCCCTCAGCCACTCTCACCATTCCACTTCATCCCTTACTTCACCCTATAATGTGAAATGCTGCTATAGCTATCTAATGCTGCTATAGCTATCGAAGCATATGTCTGACTTGCTTCTTCTTTAGAGTCATCTCTAGGTAATTTACAGAAATGCGCAAACCGTATAAACCATGGCCTCTGACTTGTGATTTCCCAGACTCTGGCCTGAACGCTTCTATTTTAATTGAATTACCAGAGGAAGTATGAGTTACCGCTGTGGGTTAGAAGCATATACTATGACTAATTCTTCTTTATAACTCCACTGTCTAGCAGGATGCCTGCTGCAAAGCGAGTGCTCAGGTTGTACATGTGGAATCAATAAAGTCATTGCATCTTCATTACTCCTTTTAGGTTAATTATCATGTCAATGACTTGGAGAATCAACCTTGTGTAGCTGCTTGTATTATGAATGGTAATTACATTCCTCTAAAATCTGTTTACAAGAGTGTCTGCAAGAAGTTTCTGGGAACCTGCCCCCAGTTGGTTCTGATTAGTAAATAAAAATGCCAACAGCCAATAGCTGGGAAGTACAGACAGAGGTGAGGGTTTTTGGAATCTCCAGGACTTGGGACTGGGAGGAGGAAGAAGAGTTTGGAGGAGAAAAGGGACACCATGCCTGAGAAAAGTGCAGGACATAGAGAAGGCGGCCCCAGATCAGCCAAGGTAGAACTTAGAATTAGTGATAACTCAGGATTAACCGAGTAGAGGTTAGGCAGTGGTCCAGCTACTGAGCTGCTTAAGGCATATTCAAATATAAAGGCTGTGTGTGCGTGTGCGTGTGCGTGTGCGTGTGTGTGTTTCCTTCAAGAACATAAACCATTGAGGTACCCTGCCCTTGCCAGGATTTATTATTTAAAAATGTAATTCAACAGTTTTGAATTCTGCTTATGTGCTCTTCTTAGAGATTTCTGGGTTCCTACAAGCACATTCTTTGGTGGGTTCCATGATATAAACACTGTGATAGGTTAGATTTTAAACCTAAGAGATAATGAAAGCCTCTCTCTCTCTCTCTCTCTCTCTCTCTCTCTCTCTCTCTCTCTCTCTCTCTCTCTGCCTCTACTACCCTCTTAACCCCCCTCTCCATGCCCTGAATAAACTATTCTATACTATAAAAAAGGAGATATAATAAAGGAATAGTAAACTTAAAAAGGATTTTGTATATTTATACACATATTCAAATTCAGGCTAAGAAAAAAAGGTCTATTTTTAGGACTATCACTAATTTTCTGCCCATTAATATTTTTATTATTAACATATTCAAATGAAATTTGTTTCCTCTTCTTATTAGAGCTAAGCACCAATGCATAAAATAATATGACATTATACAGTCAAGAACTTGGAATGCTATAGACCAGTATTGCCAATTGTCCTTCTTCCCAGAGGAGGGCCTAAAGGAAGACCTATAAATAAAGTAATACAAATCAAAATACCATTGGATTAAAATCTGAGTCCAATAATTCAAAGAAATGTTTTGGTGGCTGGAATATAAATTAAGCCACCCCTTTTTCCTGTGGTTTAAACTTAACTCTTGAGACATTCAATCCCCCTGTGAAAAAGAAGGAATGGGGGGGGATGGGCAGCCATATTTGCCAAGAACCTGTTCTATCTGCTCAGCCCTCAGTCCTATGTTCACAGTTGGAAAGAAAAGGAGTCGACCAAGCCTGGGGCTAGCTCTCTGAGACACACTCTGCCTACTTTATGTACCAAGGGGTACACAGAGAGAAGGCTATATGAGCAAGTTTCTCTGCCTTTGGTATACCATAACTTTGACAATATTTAAAGTTAGCCCAGTAACTGTTCTAGTTTCAGATGAATCATATTAAATGTCCTGACTGCTTAATGAAGGATCTGGAAAATTTGTAGACAATCATGAACCCAACATGAAAGGCACCCTCAAGTGTCCCTTGTGAATCTTGGTTTCTTGTTCAAAGGCAGCCATGCAAGTTCCAAATACAACTTCCACTTCCCTTCACAGTCTGTAAATTTATCCTCCCTACATTCTGTGTGTGTGTGTGTGTGTGTGTGTGTGTGTGTGTGTGTGTGTGTGTATGTGGTGTATGTGTGTATCTGTGTGTGTGTGTGTGTGTGTGTGTGCATTACAACCACAATTAGCAAATGCAAGTAGACTTGAGAATCCTAATAAACATGCTGTTGAGGAAAGGGCAGTGTTCCCCACAACAAAGACTGATTCAGCCCCAAATGGGATTAGTACTGTTAGAAATATGTTTGTGTTTGCAAAGAAAGAGTCCACCATTTCAAGCAAGGTCTTGCAACAAGGTAAAAATTTACTCTTGATCAAGAGGGAGAGCTCCTAACTATAGCAGTGGAACAGGCACATGGTGAGTTTAGGTTTTTTAATGCAGGTGACAACTGTGTATTTTCCTTATTAGCTATTAGGTGTCTGATCTTTCTCCTTAAAAAACTAGCACAATGGGGGATAAAGGGTAGATAAACCTGCCATTTTAATTGGAGATCTTAGTAGACCCTTTGTGTATACCAAGATTTTACCAGAGTAGGATTAGGGAATTAAAACATTTGCATAAAAATCTTACAAGATGGGGAGATAAAAAGATTTAAATTCCTCGTTAAAAACACAAGTTTTATAGTAGTTGATAGAAAATTTTTTTTCTTACAATGCTGAGGTTCAGAGACGGTGGGTTAGACTATTTACCCCAGAAAGAACCCCGTCCTTACTTTCGATAGTCTATGAAGCTCAGCTATAAATGTCTTCATGACAATAGAAACTTCACTTTCTGATGAGGACTGTGGAACTCAGAGAAATAGGACCAGTTCAAGGTTACAGATATGGAAGGAAGCAGAAAGAGATGGGATCCATGTCTTATAATTCTCTCATGCTCTTTACCCACTGCCGTCTCTCGCTCCATCCTGCTAATGTAGCCTGTAGCGCCTCTCTTTCACAGCTCTTTTGTTAACAGCATACCCTAGATACATCTTTTATCCAATCACAACCCTTTCTATCAGCTCATTTTCTCTTTCCCTAGCCAGACTTTTATTGAGAGTGAAGCTCAGTGCTGTCTGTGAATAGCAGGGCATGTTCAGTCACAGATAGAATACATCAAGGAACTACTGGCAATGTTTGCCTTTAAAATCCACATTGTACTCATTCTCTTCTTTTGAAGAAGGAAAACTAATCATTTGTACATACTTCTGCTGTAATAGCTGACCACTGAAACAGATAATTTGGTCAAAATGAGAGAGAGAGAGAGAGAGAGAGAGAGAGAGAGAGAGAGAGAGAGAGAGAGAATGAATGAGAATGCAGAGAAATGTATTCAAAGGAAAGCATAGGTAAGGTTCAAGGTAGATGTTGCATCATGACTTGGCTTGCTTCTCTCTCCAGCTTCACTTTTTCCATGGTCTTTAATTCACCTGTTTAGTGCACCAGTGGCAACAAGGATCTTCTTCACGTTTTCCAGTGCACCAAGTTCTTCAGGATGCTCACTCCCTGATTTCATTCTTTTATTATTATTACATCCTGACTGTAGTTTCTCCTTCCTCCTTCCCTCACCTCCCATTTCCTCTCCATCATCTTCTCTCTGCATACCCTCCCATTCCCTTTTCATTTTCTCTTCAGAAAAGGCCAGGCTTCCCATGGATGTCAACCAAACATGGGATATCATGTTGTAGTAAGACTAGGCGCCTCCCCTCATGTGAAGGCTAACAGAGGCAAACCAGCATGGGGAAAAGGGTCTCAAAATCCAGTAAAACACTCAGAGGCAGCCCCTACTCCCACTGTTAGGAGTCTCACAAGAAGACAAAGCTACACAGCTGTAGCATATATGCAGAGGGCCTAGGTCAGTCGCATGCAGGCTCTCTGGTTAGCAGTTCAGTTTCCGTGAGCCCTCATGAGCTCAGGTTCGTTGATCCTGTGCATTTCCTTGTGGCATCCTTCATCCCTCTGGCTCCTACACTCCTTCCTCCCCCTCTTTTGCAGGATTCCCTGAGCTCTGCCGTAGATCTTTGCATCTGTTTCCCTCCATTGCTAGGTGAAGCCTCTCTGATGACACTTGGGCGAGGTACCAATCTATGAGTATAGCAGAATATCAGTAGGAATCATTCCATTGAGTTTTCATTTATTTATTTATTTGCCGGACATATTTGGTTCAATGCTAAGTCCCTGGGCTATCCAGGCTATGGGTCCTGACCAGGCAGTGTCAGAGGTGGGCAGCCTCTTGTGGCATGAGTCTCAACCTGGGTTGGTTTTATAGATCCTGGCTCCTCCTATATTTCATCTGCCTAGCACATTGTTTTTGTTGTTGTTGTTGTTCCCATCAAATTTGGTTTTCTCAAAGAAATTCTTCATGAACCTGTCTTAATCTGACATCTTCTCTGCCTCCAGATTATTGGCTAGTTCTTATAGTAATTCTCACTTGTTTGCAACTGTACAGTGTATGTCTCTCCAACAAAAGAAAAATAGTTCTATGAGTGCTGATGTTAACATCAGCTTTGTTCACTGATAACAGTTTAAACAAACCCACTAAAACTAATGTTGAAATGTAATGCCCCTGGTGAACCCTTAAGAGAGTAGAAAGCTAATCTAACCTTGGTTTGCGTAACCACTGGGAGGTAATGTTTTAATAGGAACACAAAGACAGGGCCCTAATCCAGTGAAACTAGGGCTTTATATGAAAAGAAAAGCCAGCCAGGATGCTTGTCTCTCTCACCCTCTGGTGCCCTGCTCTGCTCTGCTTTGCCTAGGGATTCTAGAAACACCCATTACCATCCCCAGAAGTAGCTACTCAGGTAGATGCCCAGCCTTTAATTTGCCTAGGGTGTTGTGGATTCCTAAAAAGGCATTCCTGAATTCAACTATTCCTACTAGTGTAGGGAAGTTAATCACTCATTACCTATGGTTGCAAACATCTGTTATTTCAGCCTCATTTGGGAATAATCTATATATACTGTAATTGAGAGCAACTACTGATTAGCATATAATCCAAGAAGCTGATGAATCCCATGCATCCTCATTCACGGTAGATGGAGATAAATACAATGGAAGAGAGTGCACATTGCATTGTCATGACTTTCTCAAATCTATTCCACTGCTTGCTTAATTGTGCGTTGCGGAAACTTTGCTGCAGCTTGTCATGGCCTAGGAAACACAGGAAGCTGACAGTGTGACCAAGCTAGTCCTGTGGGTCTTCACAGAGAAGGCAGCTGGGGTCCTGGTCTGCTGCAGATTCTATCTGAATGGTAAGAGAGTGCAGATCAAAGCTACTGCTGAGGGCACAAGCAATTCCTGTCCGCACAGACTGGCTGTCCTGGCTGGCAGCTGTTGATAAAGAACCAGGAAGATTAACACAGATAATGTGACAATGCATGTGTTCTCTCTCTCTCTTTCTCTCTCTCTCTCTCTCCCGAACACACCCGAACACCCCCGCGCACACTCCCTCCCTCCCTTTCTCTCTCTGTCTCTCTCTCTCTCTCTCTCTCTCTCTCTCTCTCTCTCTCTCTCTCTCCACACACACACACAGACACACACACACACACAGAAATACACACACACAGACAAGCATACACACATGTGCTGAAACAGGAGCTGATCTCACCTTCAAGGGTTTGATGTCTGAAGGGTAGAGAAAGGACAGAGCCCTCAGAGAAACAGTTGGCTCTAACACTCACTTCTAACTTTCACACAGACAACAGCAAGGTACCGAGTTACTACTGGTACTCTCCCTACACAGCTACCTCTGTAGTCTGGCACTGATAGGAGCTTCTTATGGGAGGAGAGAAGACTTGGATAGCAGTAGAACCAGACTGAGCTCCTGTGTCTTACTGGGCCCTGCTCACCAGCCTCCAGGATCTCCTGCTTGCCAATCCTGGATTTAATTAGAATTTATATCAAGACAAGTGGCAGGAACAGGGAAGCATTTAGAGCTCCCCACAGACTTTCCCTAGAGCATCCAGCCTCAGTGCCATCCTTTTTTCTGTCTTAAATAATTTCAGGAGGCTGCAAAGTCCCCACAGGGTTACCTGATTGTTTCCTATATTCTTACTCTGGTGGTGAAATATTTGCACAGAGGATGCTGTAAATTTCTGGAAGTCATATCTGAGCCCCTTGGAGAAAATGAAGACATCTGATAAAGTACAGCCTTCAAGTGACTGCCACTGACTTTCACATCCCTTACCTCTAAGTAACTTCTTGAGTCATTTTTAACAACCTAATTACTATCCTTGGCCTGAGGTTTCTCTTAAAAGGAAGAAAAACCTCCTATCTCCCATTTCTCCCAGTCTGAAAACTTATCATAGACACACTCCCCTTCTACTTGAAAAAAGCAGGTTTGAGTCTATTTGATGAAGTGTCTTGCATGGCCACCTGATGTCTGACCATCTTTCTACACATCTATTAGCTTGTTAGAATTTAAAAGCTGAGCCTCCACCTCCCTTCTTTCTTCTTCAGGGTCAGAAAAGTATCATTTACACAGGCGACACTCCATTGAGATGCTTTGTTGTTTAATTCATTCCTATTCTTTAGACTAAGGGGGTACCCAGACAAATAGGCAAAGTCATTTTTTCTGAAGCTGGGGACTTGAAGTAAGAGAGACATTTTAGCCCTTTGCATGGTCTCTCTATTGTATGCAATCAGCTCAGAGGATGCAATTGGGTTCATTGTTGCTATGGCAACATTGATAAGTGGGTTGGTTTTCAGAGGTGCAGAGTAGAGCAACACATTTTACAGTTGTTTTGACAGACAATAGATAGTAAGGGTGACTGTAAAAGGAAGAGAAATGACTGACTTTTCAGGGTAAGGAGTAAATCTTGCCTGGGTGTTTACAAAACTCACTGACCTGTAGCAACATGAACAGAGAGAATCACTTGATTCACTGTCAACGACCAGATGTGTAGATTGTGCACGGAGATCACGCCGTCAACTGTGAGGATGAGCTCTTTCACACTGTTGTAACTCAGGCCCTTTGGAACACCTGACAAAGGAAAAATATGACCCTCTTGTTACTTACTTAAATGTACTCACCAAGGTGGCTAAGTGTAGAACTTAGCCATCTGTAAGTACCTGTAGAACACCAACTTGCATCCAGTGCCTTTCTTTGGTTTTGTACTTCAAATGTTTAAAATCTGCCTCTGCAGGAGGCTTTGAGACTGATGAGTCTCAACTCCACAGACGAAATACTCACAGAATTTACTCAGCAACATCTAGCAACAAGAATCATCCCGAAGATGTTATTATACCAACAGTGTTTTGCCTAATTATCTTTGCACATGTTCTACAAAGCATGATGAAACAGCAAGGGGTTTGCGATCATAAATCTTGGGTTTGCATTTTGACGATAATTAGTGTGAATTTTCTTAAATTGTGATGCTTCTCTGATGGGCATCATATGCATAATAAAATATGACCAGTGTGAGCAGTTCACGGGTGATGACTGAGTGGGAGCTTGTGGAGCAAGCCTGTTCTTTGTAAATTATAATGCTATGAAAGGGTGATATTTAGTGGTCACTCCAGGAACTGAGCTAAGAGGAAATGCTAATGTTGCAATGATAAGTCGTTCGGTTTGCAAATTGCTCATTGTGTTAGCTGCCTAGATCATTCAATGTCTGGGTCACAGACTATAGTAATTTGATAGTCACTCTTCTTTTTAAATAAATCATGTAAAACACATAGGAACATGGAAAGACCACTGGACAATCAGCTGGGTATTAATTTTTATAATTTATTTTTGACAGGTTCTCGCTATGTAACCCTGAATGGCCTAAATGTATTATAGTGTTGAACTTACAGCAATCCTCCTGCCTCTATCTCCAAGTTGCTGAGATTACAGGCACTTGCCACTGTACCTGGCTACTCCCTGATCTTCGAGGTGGAACTAATCTCAAAATGTATGTCAATCACACCTAACTACTGAGATGCAGTCTGGGAATCTCAGAAAACAGCAGTTCTTCAATTGTGTTATGCCAACTGAAAATAAAGTAACAAACTACAGAATGCAGAGACATTTCCAGTAAGCTTTAGTCATAGGAGCTACTGTCTTGACAGTGAGAGTTACTTCTGTCATCTTTTTCTGATTGACAGAAAGACCCATGGGGCCAGCCAGGCCAAGCAGAAGAATAGGTGCGGCCACACTGTCTATGGACAATGAAGTTCATATGCAAAAGATCCAATTCTGGGCTAAGAAAGAGCTTGTAACATCACATCCCCAGTTGCTCGCTGGCCTCTCCTCCATAGCCATGTTTGAATCCCACAGTTCTTCTTTGTACCATTTACTGCTCTATTCTTATTGTTTAGGCAATCTCTCCTTCCACTCAAGTCAATCACTGGACCACTGTTTTGCTCATCTTAGTGGGTCTAATTTTTAAGGACATGATCTAGCAGAGTTCCACAAGCACTTGCCGGGGTTAAATAAATGTCATCCCAGTGTCTTTGTACTTTGAGACACGTGAAACCTAAATGTTCAATTATGTTGCTGCCTAATAGAAAGATGCTTCTTGTCTTTCCTTGATATTCTCCAGTGTACTTTTGCAATATTTGCAATATTTCCCTCTAAGGTTGTATTCAGTGCTTATATTTGACATCTTTATATTGCAAGGTAAAATTTAACAGGGTGTGTGTGTGTGTGTGTGTGTGTGTGTGTGTGTGTGTGTGTGTATGTGTGTGATTTCTATTTGTTCCATATAGGCAGAAATCAAATATTAATAATCCTTATCACTCTAATTTTCCTCTATAATACAAATACAAATTAGTCAAGAACATTCCTTGCAGCCACCCCTTTTATGATCAAAGGGAAGAAGCATCAGTCCTGAGGATACTGATGAAAGCAGTCCTACCTTCCATGAGTAAGATGGAGAAGTCTTTTAAGATCATGACGGTGCTGGCCAAAACCAGAATGGAAAAGATAAATGTGCACACTGGATCAGCAATTTTGTAGTCAGGCTGGAAAACACAGCAGCCTTGGTTAACTGAGTTTAAACTTTCTACCGAGATGCCCAGTTGATAAAAGAAGTGACACTCTCTGAATCCTTCTTTCTCTACCACTCATTGACCTTCCTGACCCTGAGCATTCAATTCAAAAGCAGGATGCTTTTTTCCTGGGGACTCAGGCATCCAAGTTTTAAATTTACAGTGAATAAGGAGTGGAGGGTCTCTGGAAATGTGTTCCTCATAACTCAGGGATTAAACTGATATATATTCTTAAATATTCTCTATATTTACCTGATTTATAGTTTGCAAATTAATTTGAGAACACAATGCTTTTCAACCATAATTATGACGAGGGAGGAAAAAGGCTATCATTTATTTGAGCTTTTAAAGCACAAACCAAAGTATGATTCTGATTCTTGAGCTCTCTCTCTCTCTATTTCTATTTCTCTCTCTCCCTCTCTCCCATCATTTTCTCTCTCTCTCTCTCTCTCTCTCTCTCTCTCTCTCTCTCTCTCTCTCTTTCTCCCTCCCTCCCTCCCATCATTTCCCTCTCCCTTTCTCTCTCACTCTCTCCTTCCCTACCCCTGCTGATTGATAGTCTTGAAATTAGAGTGAAATATGTACTCTTCTGATTATGATGAAGCTCAGTGGAGTGGAAAAGTCCATTCTCTACTTCCTTTAGGAAATGTAACAGAAGCCTAACCTTTGTGCATGGAGCAACTGGAGTTGTGTTTGAAGGCGTTACATGGATTTTATTAGTTACACAGCAAAGAAAGTCATAAATCAAATTACTTGCCAAATATATTGTGGATGCCATGGATAGGCGGGTTACAGCAAAGCTGGGAAAAGTCTGCTATAGATTTCAGATGCTATGTGATGTTATGGGGTGACATTCTTAGCTCTTTAGATTAGTGAAAGTGAGTGGTTGATTAATGCATTGCAAAGTTTTGTTTCTTTTTTATTTAAATAGATTATTTAATGCAGTATATTCTGATTATAGTTTCCCCTCCCCCAACTCTTCTCAGATTGTCCCCACTTCTCCACCCACACAAATATATACCCTTTTATTCTCTCATTAGGATATACACAGGCAATAATACTACTAATACTAATATAATACTAATACTAATACTAATACTAATACTAAGACAAATATAGACAGAATCGGACAAAACAAACAGAAGAAAAAGAGCCAAAGAAAAAGCTCAAGAAACACAAATAGACACAGACACACAGACTCATACACACACACACACACAAATCTCATAAACACAAAACACAAAATCAGAAGCTATAAAATATATGCAAAGGACCTATAAAGTTTAAAAAGACAAAAGGCCTGACAAAGCATTATGAGACAGAGAACTTCAAAAAATGCCATTGATTTTATTCTGTTCTGACATTACTGATGGGCATGGAGCCTGCCCATAAGTATGGTTTGTATAGCCAGGGAGACTCCATTGGATAATAACTGGTTAGAATAACTAATTTTTCATTTGTGAGCAGTTATCAATTGGAAATAGCTTCTGTGTTGGGGGTGGGGTCTTGTGTCTACTCCCCATCTCAGCACTAAGACTGCATCTGGACAAGACCTGGCAGACCCTATGTGTGTTGCCAAATATATGTGAGTGCATAGTTACAGAGGACTTACTGTGTTTAGAAGGCACCATCCCCTCTGGGAAACTCAAACTGTTAATCGGTATGATCTTAAACTGCCTTTGCCTTTGCCTTGAAGATTTTATTTCACTGGAAAAGTTTTTATTTATTTACTAACTTCAAGCATTTACTGTATACCTCTCCCCCTCTGTGTTCAGATATCTTTCCCTTTTCCTTATCCTTACATGTTTTCACACGTATAAAAAAAAATACTATCCTCAAAAAATTGGACACTTACAATAGCATAATACAAAGCAGCAAAGCCAAAGACTATTTTCTTGGCCCACTCACTCTGTCCCAAACACACATCATTGTCAAGGAGTACGTACTTACGCGTCTAGAATGAGAGACCCTTCTCCATTCTCATTCTGCCCCAGAGTTCTGCTTTGGGGTAAAAGAAGCTCCTCCCACACTGAAAACAATGTCATCAGGCACATGAATCAAATACCCTACTGTTTCCTAGCTAAGCAGCAGGCACAAGTCCCAAACACAGCGAACTGGATTCCCTCCCAAGAAATATGATTCTCGGGGGGCTGGAGAAGATGTCTCAGTGATGAGGAACAGAGGCTGCTCTTGCAGAGAACCTGAACTCAGTTCTCAGCACTCACTTTAGGATGCTAATAACTCCAGCTGCAGGAGATCCAACTCCTCTGACCTCTGTGGGTACCTGCACTTGTATGCACATATTCTCTCAGAGACACATTATTGGGCATAGCTAATAAAGCATACATAAATAAATCTTTAAGAAATATGATTCCTGGCAGTGATAATATGAACAGGCAAAATACTTGATCAGACATATTTATCTCAGTAAGATACCTGTAGATACCAAAATGTTCCAGATCTCTACCTTGATTTGTGTCTCTGAGTTCATTCCATACATTTCATCCAATAAGTATGACTTAGATCAAGCTAGATATCTCTTCCATTGTTTATAGCTGAAGAAACCCAAGGTGTTCATGGTTTCATTGGTTTATGTCTTAACGCCATATCAAGAGGATCTTTCTTGAAAGATTCAAAGCCCAACAGGTGAAGAACCAACAACTGTTTGAGATTCAGGAGAGACCGAGGTTTCAGGATTTGTTCGTTTTAGCTTTGTAAAGTGGTTTGAGTGAGTAAAGACAGGCTACTAGCATTGGTGGTATTTGAGTCTTAGATGCTGCCTCATCCAGAGAATCACCAGAATCACTAAGCACACTCACCTTAAAGTAGATAATGAGAGCACTAATTAGCACACTGATGCTCTGAAATACATCCCCCAGTGCATGCACAAAGGCTGCTCGGACGCTAGCATTTGCTTGCATGTCCTTGTGGTTGTGGCCAAGGTTCCGTTGGTGCAAAATCATAGTAAGTCTGAAAGAGATAAAAATGTTCCTGGAATACAGTAAGTTTACATAATGGAGGAATCATTTGTAGCATTTATTACTCAAACTGTCAGGTAATTAAAATAAATTAAGTATACTGTGTTGGACTTACGTTTGAATATAAGTATATCTTAGAACTTTTAAAAACTATCAAAAGGAAATATTTCAAAAATTCACCACTTTTCTGGAGAATTCACTAACATAATGCTATTCTGTCTCATGGAAAAAAGTGAAGAGTATTACTTCTTTCATGAAAAATTGAACATGGATGCAATTAGATGACTGTTGGTTACCCCAAACATGAAAGTTCTACTATTGCAACCCTGAGTATATCTTGTCACTGTGGTTTATACAGGCTTATAGCCTGCTTGAACTATTGACTGTCTATCTCTCTTTGCAGCTTGAAGAGAGTTCTCTCTTCTGTTTCCAAAGCTGAAATATTTAATTTAATTTAATTTGTTTCATTTGAAAGATTATTCAAAATCTGAATAATTTTCTAATGGCCAATGCAAAGAATACTGTGTCTGCATATATTCTTATTTATACAGAGACTGAAATCATCTGATATGGTATAAAGAACTTGTATACGTACACACATATTATAACATATTGCAAAAGTTTAGCACGCATCTTACAAGCAAACTGACAAAGAAGGAAACACATCATGTACTTGTAATGTATCTGTTAAATCTCAGGCCATCATTGAAAGCAGAATCACAGCTACCCACCAAGATTTGATCATTCCATAATGCAGTTTTCAGATTGTCAGTATTTGGATAGGAAGTCACTGTCAACTATAAGTTACCATTCCACATGCCCCAGACAGGCTGGCTGTAAATAGAGCCTCTGAATCTGTTATTTATGTTCATCGCGTTGTCATTCACTCTTTAACTTGTTTTATTTTAAGATGATGAGGAACACATATTTAGGCACACTTAAATATTTGCACCACGAACTGGACATCATGATATCTCCCTAGCATGCATTTGTGTCAGAGATAGGGAGGATTACACACACACACACACACACACACACAGAGAGAGAGAGAGAGAGAGAGAGAGAGAGAGAGAGAGAGAGAGAGA